ACATGGAACCCAAGAGAACGGACCAATGACAGCTGCAGAGCCAGAACTGTCCCACTCCTTTATATCAGCCGTAGAACCAGAACTGTCCCACTCCTTTATATCAGCCGTAGAACCAGAACTGGTCCACTCCTTTATATCAGCCGTAGAACCAGAACTGGTCCAGTCCTTTATATCAGCTGTAGAACCAGAACTGTCCCACTCTTTCCAGCTGAGGTTGGTGGTGTTTGTCCAGTCAGGTCCTGGTCTTCRTGTCTTCTCAGGTCAGCGTTGTGGTCTCTCTCATCACCATGATCGCTCCGTCTGCCTTTGAGCTGGTGGCCCAGCTGGAGATGTACCATCCCAGAACCTCCCTGCGGTTCCAGCTGGCCAGGTACCAAATACTGATGTATGRCTCGTAGTCTCAGAACCTGCTGTAACAGGGACCCTGATCCTGTCCCTGCTGAACTGATTGACAGTGTGGGGTTCTGAGTCTGGTCCAAATGATTGTAGCCTGAAGGATCCATCTTTATTCATGACCTTCGGACCTCACAGCTCATGTCTCCTAACTGGCCTGATCTTTAAAAACTTTGTCAGAGTCGTTAGAGTCTGTCTTTGCCAGGACATGAAGCTACAGTCTAATTGTCTCTTTAGTCTTGTGATTAATTAAAAAAGAAAGAAAATAATCACTTTATTTGTAACAAGATTTTTCMTTTTTAAATGTATTCAAGTGTTGCGGTGACTCCACTAGTTAAACCTGAAATATGTTTATTTGTCATTTTAATCATAACAGGAAGATGATGATTGTCTGACCTCCTGAAGCAGGCAACATCTGTGCTGGCAACACAGGGTCTGGTGAAAAACCRAAGTATTTTCCAAGAGAAATGTTTGGAGTCTTAGCAGCTGACCCTGAGGTATACCCTAAATATCTTTCTGTCAGGTCCAGTCACACGCTGGAGGTGGTGCTGGACTAGGAGAAAACTGGACTCCTGAAGCAGACAAGATGTCTCAGATTGGTTCACCAGCCAAACGGAGGTTTAAAAAGTAGTTTATTTAATTTTACGCTGCAGAAAGCAGCCGCTCTGACCCCACTGGGGTCTGATGACGAGTGCCCCCTGACCGAGTGTGACGTCACCYCCTCAACTCTCTCCTTCCTGACCTCCAAGTGATGACTCCAGGGACAGTTCTGTACCCTAAACCAAACAAGTCCCCACTGAGCCATCACCCCAATGAGACAACTGGGTGTGTCCAGCACTGGAGGACAACCTGGACCTGTCAGCACAKTCTGGTCCGGACAGCAGTTCTGTTAGGTTACTGAGTCCGAGGCAGGAGGACCTCTTCTTATCTGTAGTCAAATTAAATGACTCTTTAGGTTAGTTATAAAATTACTAATCCTTAATCTGAGCAGATTTTTAACAAACCTTCTCTCCAAACTGACAAAATATTTTATAGTTTTTTAAACTGGGTCATTTGTCAATTAACTAATAAAAGACTATTTTTTTTTCTTGAGAAAAGATCTTGTTCTTTCTTAAAAACATCAAGCTTTATTTTGAAGATTGACTTTTTCTAAACAGACTAAATAACATCAAGTCCACTTTAACTTTTACCTTAAACTATTTTTAAAGGTTTATTCATTTTTATTGTTGTTATTCATTTATTCTATGAAGTTTGTTTTTGTAATGAATGTTTAAAGAGTAGTTGTTCCCTGCTGCCTCATGTCACTGAGTCTGATTTATAAAGAGTGAATAAATGATGAGAAACAAACACCTCGACTGACACTGATGATGTTTGTTGTGTTTCCAGGGTTCTGGTTCTGTACCTGGGGAACCTCTACAGTCTGATCATAGCTCTGCTGGATAAAGTCAACAGCATGAGTTCAGCTGTGAGTCCTGTCAATCAAACTGTTCTGTCAATCATCACAGCTCACATGTTAGGCTTCTGCTGCTTCCTTTGCTTCAAGGGCTGGGGGTGGAGCAAAGGTGAAAAGGTAGAACAGGTGAACAGGTAGAACAGGTGAACAGGTNTGGGTTCATGTTTTAGAAAGGGCCAGCAGTCAGCTGACCTGTGACCTCTGACCTGTGACCTGTAACCCGTGACCTCTGACCTGTGACCTCTGACCTGTAACCTGTGACCTCTGACCTCTGGCTTCTGACCTGTAACCGGTGACCTCTGACCTGTAACCTGTGACCTCTGACCTGTAACCTGTGACCTCTGACCTGTAACCTGTGACCTGTAACCTGTAACCTCTGACCTGTGACCTGTAACCTGTGACCTCTGACCTGTAACCTGTGACCTCTGACCTGTAACCTGTGACCTGTGACCTCTGACCTGTAACCTGTGACCTCTGACCTGTAACCTGTGACCTCTGACCTGTAACCTGTGACCTGTGACCTCTGACCTGTAACCTGTGACCTCTGACTTCTGACCTGTAACCTGTGACCTCTGACCTGTAACCTGTGACCTCTGACTTCTGACCTGTAACCTGTGACCTCTGACCTGTAACCTGTGACCTCTGACTTCTGACCTGTAACCTGTGACCTCTGACCT